TAGTTCACTTAGTTCATGCATAAAAATCGTCCTATCGAAATAGTTCGTGAACTACACACCACTTCTCACTGTGTAAAAGGCACAGATAAGAACCAACCTCGAAGGCTGTCCGACCGAGTATGCAGGTTTTTTAAAGTGAGCTTCCTTTCTGTACTCTATATACTCTGCTTTCTATTCATGACCGCGAGATGCACAAATTCCAAGTTTTTTTTATTATTAAAGCGCGAAATTGATTTCGAATAAAGTTGATGGGAGCTTCCGTATTCGTAGGTAGAACCACTTCAGTACCATCGGTACCACCGGCCTGAGAGCCGACTTCCTGAGGATTTTTACAGCTTTGTGTGAAGTGTAACGGTGATTTTATATGTGTAGTGAAATTATCTCCATTCCTCATAATATAATTTACGAGATGTTGAGTGCATCATTAAAATTAATTATTAGCTTTGTGATATCTACCATCTTAGAGCTGAGTTACCTTTGATGATTCGAATCGTTCCTGGGAACCGGTTTCTTTGATTCGCTTAAATTTCCTATTCCGATTTCACACACAACTCCTATTTTTTTCTTATATGTATCATAAAATGGTGTACTGTGTATTGGACATTCACAAACGGCACATACATAAACGGTAACGTTAATTTGACATTCACATCAATGAGTGCGTTCAGCCAACGCAAAGAAATTCAACGATGTAGCGATTTTATGTTGACTAGTAGTAGAAGTGGAGTAGCTTTGAAAGGTCGCTACATTTAATCACCAATCTACATTTATTTATTTAACATACGTTTAACTTTAATGCTGAGACTTTTAAGAAAGTTGCAAAACGCTAGAAAATGAAATTTGGAATGTTTGACCTTTCAGAAAAAAATTCTTAGCAAAAAAAAATTAAATCCAGGATTTTTTCACTTTTCGCTCATAAGGTTTTTTTAATGTTATATGACATGCACGTTACGAAAAATCATATCACTCATTTCCGTCGGTCTGTATGTCTGTCTGTCAATCTGCCGGCGGTGTGTCCGCTAATCTTTGGACCGCCTATAACTTGGAAAGTACTGCTCAGATTTGGACGAAATTTTCACGCAAGATTACTACTATGCTGAGGACAAAAAAGCTTTTGAAAATCTGTCCAGTTGCGGCAGAGCTAAGTGCAAAACACGAAAAGATAAAAATCTTTCTAATATCGTTCTTTTACGTTTCAGTGGCCCCCTGATCATTTGAAGACAAAAAAATTGTATGGGTTGAAAACTGGCGGTTGTGGGTTGTAGGTGCTGGGGGAATGTATATCTCGTTTTGTTGGCGGCAGTATATTTATACGCTTATAACGCCAATAATTATACATATTTCACATATCAAAGATAGTCGATACTTAGGGCAGAGAAGAACCTAGCGTCAGCGTTATTAAATGGATGAGGTCTATGGAGTATGTACTAATTGTATATGGGTCTGTTTGGCTGACTTGACCAATTTTTTTTTGTTATACATGTTTGTGACTAACTGAAAGGGACTAATTTGGGCCGAACACAATCCTGTATGAACTGCTGACAGCGTGGGAAGTGCAGAGACCTACTTGACGCAACTTTTTAAAATCTAAAAAGTATTTTTTCCAATGTTTTATGAAATAAAATTAAATATTATTCCTTTATTTGCTGGATAAACCAAACAAATAAATTATTAACACTTCTATTATGTAACTTATAAATTATGTTTCTTTATTGAAGAGTTAATCATTATTTCTTGAGTTCAATTTTTATTAAACTCTTTCGTGGGGCCTTACAAGGAACAAGGTTCCATACAAGACCAGTATAATAAATCAGTCGTTTAACTTAAAACTAATGTTGTGATCAAAATATCTGTTTATATTACTTAAACCAAATGTGAAATATAGTATTAAATACTTACAATAATATGTTCTCATAAAAAATACTCTACGAACATCAGTTGAATGGCATCGTAAAACTAAGAATGTATTCATTAAAATATTTTCAGGATGATGAATTTTATATCGATATGATATGCAAATGACCTTTATAATTTTGATTAAAAAAATTCAAATCGACCAAAATGACCTTATACAAGGCCAAACTGTTCCAGATGGCGTTAGAAATTCACAATTTAAAAAATATTAAACAAAATAATAGATAATTTACTTGAAAACGTTTTGTTGTGAGCTATGATTATAATTTTAACATTGACCACCGCATTGACAAAATAACAACGCGAGCGGCTCCCAGCGCAACTATATCCTTGAGTTTGATGGATGTAAGTGGGATTTGAAGGAATTTGTCATCGCATGACAAGAACTACAACTTTTCAATAATTGGCTTTACAATGAGCATGACCTTCCATATTCTACCCACCTTAGTGCTTTCTTTTCAAATAAAAAAGCGACTTATGTTAATATAGCGGGAATGAGGTGCAAAAGCCTCATTTCTTAAATTCTTTTATGATTTTTGGTTCTCAAACAGCTCTTCAAAAATACGGGTTCCAAAATGTTGCATAAGTTTCAATAATATCGATGAACTACACGAAGCATGGTCGCTTAAAAGAAGATTCGTAGCTGAATTTTAGTTTGTAATTCCAACGATGGGGATGTAAAAACTACGAATATGAAGGAGACAGATTCAATTGAAAATGATAACGAAAGAAGCATCTTCATAATCATCATCAGGAAATCTCTACTGTTTCGGACGAAGAGTAAGGTATGCAAAATTGAAAAATGTTCGTCCCTCTTAGGTTGTAAAACTATGCAATAACAATGCCGAGATACTGGATCAAATGCCACTCACAATCAAGCTCAAGAACTCGCAACCTTTTTTGACATTTTAACATGATCTATGCGGTCCAACTCCAAAATTCACATGTTTTTATATGAATTCCTAGTAAACAAAACGGTAAGAAAGCATCTTAATACTGTGTGCTCGATCTGCGTGTATAAGAAGGATTTTTTGATTTAAGGATTAAACAGAGTAGGTGAATATAAAATTATGTTTCAGGAGATGGAATAATTTATTAACTACAGAAATGTAACGTAAGCCATCTAATTGAAATTTGAAAATGTATTTCAAGCATGAACTCTAAAATAATATTGTTGAGTTTTATGTTGCCATCTGTGTGGTTAGCATAACCTTTCTCAAAAAAGTCACTTACATTTTTGCAATATTCAATACCGACGTTACTTTACTATATTTCATAGAGTGTTTTGTTCCAGACTGATCCAAACACGGCGTTCCTAAGGGCAGCTAGGGCCGGACAACTGGATAAAATCTTAGAATATCTGGACTCGGGAACAGTTAGAGACATCAATACTTCAAATGCTGTAAGTACTTATTTTGTTATCGAGATCATTGTAAGGCTGAGATATGCTAAGCTCACTTTTTGTCTTCATTTTTATTGTAAAACGTACAAATATTGTACCAATTGATTGTATAATGATTTCATCTAGGGGCATTTAGAATTTATAAGCAGTCGCTAAAGTTAGAGATAACGTCAAGTGACTTACCCTGTTTGTCAGAGAAGGATCGTCAACTTCTAGTCCACCCCTCGTAGAATTAGTCCGGGAGATATCTTCGCATGTGATGGGAAAAATATTCTGAATCGGATTTTTTGCATTCGCTTATTCAGAAAAATCCCGATTTGATTAATCTGTATGTTGCCAGACCCAAATTTGCGTCAAAAATTGAACATTTTTTTAAATGATTCCTAAATTTGTTTTTTTTTTCGCTCCGGTCAAGGTGTTTTTGGAACGCGCTCAACAAAAAAGGTACTTTAGAACTGTTCTCTAAAGTTGATAGTTTCTGAGACATAAATCATAAAATATTTGGAAAAGTACGAAATATGCCATTTTCGAACCCGAAAAACAGTATCAAAAGAACAAAAATTTTAATGTCGCCAAAGTTCCTAAACATTCTTCAAACGTCCATTATCAAAATCCCGAAGCATTTCAGCAGGTATTGTAATTGCAAGCCTGTGCTATTACTTGCCACGCTTATTGGCGGGAAAGTACTGTTGTCGCGAAAAATAAGAGTGATGAGTGTTCTGGTATGGAATCACAAGTATATCTGCCGCGCAACAGCATATTGCAGATGCACTACCGGTAGGGCAGGAAAAGAATGTCTATGACCTAATTATATGGACCTCTTTGACAGTATTTTTTATCAGAAAGTCTAGTTTGTCCTGAACATTCCTTTATGTACTGATATGGGCGTTGCGTGGGGAGTGCAGAGTCAACCTACTCGAAGAAGTTTTTTAATTGTTAGCCAACAGCGCGCTCAGTTTATGCTCAGCTTGAATGGGAGATAGACGCAACTTTGAAAAGTGACACTTGGTCATAATTTTTTGACACTCGTAATAGCATAGCGAGTATGAGCGGAATGTACTAGACGCTACTTCCTATGACCTAGTAAAAACTATGACATTACGTTAGATTTTTTTTACATTCGGTAAGATTTTTACGTAAAAGCCCTGCCGGCCAAGGCAGAGAACCATTGAGCGCGCGCTCGCCTAACAATTAGGTAAAATAAAGGCTTACAATAACAATAGCCCCAGAAATGCTTTTGAATTCTGATAATAGCTGTTTGAAGAATATCCAGGAATATTGTAAACATTTAAATTTTCGTTTTTTCATATTGTTTTTCGGGGTCTAAGATGGCATATTTTGCACTATTTCAAATATTGTATCGCTTATATCTCCAAAAATATCAACTTTAGAGAAAGGATCTAAAGCTTATTTTTTGATCAGAATGCCCCGAAAAACTTGGAAATACTTGACCGTAGCAAAGGAAAGAAATTTTGAAATTTGTGTAAATTATTGTTTGAAAAATTATGTATTTAAATTTGGGCCTGCCAACATGCATTTTCACTAAAATGGCCCTTTTTGAATAAGAATATCAAATGTGAAGATACTACCTGGACTAAACTGCTTGTTTATGTGATAAAATTCTTCGATCGAAATATGCAACTACAGCATGTCTGCGTTTATTGTCAGTCTCTCAACTTTGATGTCAGCAAACGTAACAAGACGATATAAAAATACAGATGAAATTTTTAAGGAAAAAGTGTTGAGGTGCTTTTGATATCATTCAGGCGAGATTATTGTGAGATTTGTTGATCTTGCAACCCCCGTAGAGTGTTTTTAGTGCTTTTAAAACAAGTTTATGAATATGCCTTTTTTCAAACTTGAGGCATGGACTACGATTGACTGTCATTTGGTGATTCTGAAATGTCAATGCCGACTTAATAAAGAAGCTTTGGTTTCTTGATTCGGTCTTTTTGAAATTTCAATAAGGAGTTAATGAAGTCTTCTTGAACATAATAATGCCGTATGAAGAGGTGATAGTGGTGTTTTTGAAATTCCAGAATGGTCTTAACGCTCTGCATTTGGCTGCCAAAGATGGGCATGGGGACATTGTTAGGGAACTGTTAAAGAGAGGGGCGATTGTCGATGCCGCAACGAAAAAGGGAAACACTGCGCTACATATAGCTTCTTTAGGTAAGTAATTTTTGAAAAAAAAGAAAATTGGATAAAATTCAGTGGTAGTTGGTAGTGGTGGCACATACAGGATTTTTTAGAAAGAGGTGCCAATATTTCTATGGTAGAAGGTACTTCCAAAGTAACAAAAAAAGTTTCTGTAAATATGGGTCCAAAGATGCCGAGATACAGGGTGATGAAGCTTTAATCACGAAATTTAATATATATATGTATATATATATATATATATATATATATATATATATATATATATATATATATATAGTATTCATAGTTAATTGCCTTAACTGTTAGGAGGAAATATCCATAAATTTCTTTGTTTAAGGCAAAGTTTTGCATAAGTACACTCATATATCTTGAACTCGAGCTTTCGATGGTCTATGCCATCATCGTCTGGAGCTAAAAAACAATTTTTGAAAAATAGCAACAATAAACAATTAGGAGGAAAATAATTACTTACTCAGTTGGCGAGATTGTTGCTAAAATTGTTCTTAAACGACAGTGAAAGGGAACACATAGTGGAAGAACAAAAATATTTAATTTTTTTTTTAATTTTAATAAATCTAAAAAAATTCAGTTTTAATCGAACCTCATCGGTCCAGTTTTTTGCAGACATCGTGAAGCTTGATGGCTGATGGCTCTATGGCATGTGAAGAAAGCTATGGCACCTTGTTACTATATCAAATGAATAATAAGCAAGACTTATCCTCAATCAGTAGCATAGATCATAGAAACTTACCATTCATCAAACCTTTCCTGTGCACGCTACTGGTTTTGTCGACATATTCATGTTTGCTTATAGATAAAGAAACTGAGTCCTATCATTAATGCCGTTTCGATGGATAGAAAAGTTCTGCGAAAAAGTAATTCGTCTCAGTTGGTCGGAGTCCAGATACCCGAAAACTTGATTTGCCACGAATATATGTCATTAATCGCATCAGCTTCTGGAGAAGGAGGTTATTTGTTTAGGGTCAATAAATACTTCTCTCCACAAGACCTTCTCACTCTGTACAAGGCCCAGAGAAGACCCAGCCTCAAGTACTGATCGCATGTTTGGGGTGCTAGCGCCCCGCCTACATTGTCCATACTCGATGCAGTTCAGAAGGAGTGCTGTCCGGCTGATCGTTGACACTTTTCTAACGGACAATCGCGCAACCCTTTCGGGTATTGCTCTCTCACATGATGACCCCGTGCGTTGAGCCTGCCAGGCGTATGCCTCCCATCCTAATTCTGTCATAGTTTGTACATCCATAACTGGCCGGTATGACCGCTCCTTTATTCCTAGGTTGTCGACATCGTGGAACAATCTGCCTGAGGAGGCTTTTCTCCCTTCTACAAACCTTGGGTAGTTTAAAAATCGGATAAACAACATTACTTTAAGCTCCTTTTAGCAGCTGAGGTGCCCCAAGATTTAAGTTTTTGCCCACGCGGCTGTATCAGTATAAAAAAGCTTTAAAGCAAATTTTGCCTGTAATTGACGGTTTCGACCATAGACAGAAAACAACATATCTCACCGGTATATTCTAACTTAAAAAGCTTTAAAAATGTTTTCGTCAACTAGGTTTGCACTCTTCCTAGGATTCTTGGAATTTATGTAAACAATGCTCATCCCTTCAATTTGTTCTATCCTAGCCGGTCAAGAGGAAGTGGTCCGAATATTAGTACAACATGGTGCTTCTCTAAACGTCCAATCTCAAAATGGATTCACTCCTTTGTACATGGCCGCACAAGAAAATCATGATGGAGTGGTGCGATATCTCTTATCGAAAGGTGCTAACCAAACTTTGGCTACTGAGGTGAGTAAAAAGTAAAATACGTGGAGTTTTTTACACGCTTTTATTAGCTTTTCTTGTATGTATTTTCACCGATTTCCAAAAGTTTGATTAATTCGAAACTTCGAACACGTATCAAGGACCGATGACAATGCAGTAATTTGATACAGTTTTCCATTATCCTTACTAGGACCGCCAGGATTCATAAATTCTTTTATAGATCCTCTGTAGGGGAATAAGAGAGATTTTTTAGCTTTTTTAAACTATCATTTATTATACAGTGCAGAAAGGTCCCTCCTATACATTGTTTGAACAGGCGAATTTAGCACGTTGGAATCGATGAATTGAATTTAACGTAAAAATAAAAGTTGAAAATTTCTAACTAGTGGGCGCCATCATGTAACATTTTTTTAATTGATTGAGGGGTCGTGTGTGTTTTTAAGCTTCTTGTACTTTATAACCCCAGTATGCAAAATCGCTATCTTTTAAAACGGCAGACAGGTGGGCTGTCAAATATGAACATTGAACCGTTTATAAATCAACAACTAATCGTCAGGACATTATAGTATGTTATGTCAGTTTTAAAATTACAGCAGTTTCGTGCTACTTGGCAATTCTTCAGCATGGTGTAGGCTTGGCCGGACGAACGAAGGCTATATCTCTAGTTTATACCTAGTGAAGTTTGGATTGCATTCGAGTCTTTTGAATAAAAATAAGGCAGCACAAAGTGCCATCAGGGACCACTGTGATCACCAAACTGGAAATGCTAACTGGTATACAGTTCAAACTGACCGATTCTGGTAATAGATGCCACTTTGGTCTGTCTTATTACAGTAGAGTTGCTCAGTTCTCGTTCGTTGCCCACCGAGGCCAAGCCTACACCATGCTGGGCAGTTGCCAAAGAGCACGAAACACCTGTCCATAGTTGAGCGTCTGTGATTGAACGAACGAAAGCTGTTATTACTAGTTTCTTTTGAATAGGTTTGATTCTGAAATTTTGGAATTTCGATGCCGTAACAAAAGCGTGGGAGTCCGTCTACTTGATGTCATTCTTTTTTGTTTCCAGGATGGTTTTACTCCACTGGCAGTGGCCATGCAGCAAGGTCACGATAAAGTGGTGGCGGTGCTTCTGGAGAACGACGCCAGGGGGAAGGTACGACTTCCGGCACTTCACATTGCCGCCAAAAAAGATGATGTCAAAGCCGCGGCGTTGCTTTTGCAAAATGACAGGGACCCGGACGTGACGAGTAAGAGTGGGTTTACACCGCTGCACATTGCGGCGCATTACGGGAATGACAAGGTTGCCAGTTTACTCTACGAAAAAGGTGGGTATTGTATTTAAGATGCCTCAGATTTACTTGTGAATATCTCGAATGCGTATAGAACCATTGATTACTGCATTATACTAGAAGTCAACCTAAAGCTGTATTCCCGTGTCTGTAAAGTTATCCTAGCGTCATCTATGAGAATCTGTCACAGGTGTTTATCTGTTTACTATATCTATATACTACTTTTAAAATGTTCGTGTCTCATAGATAGCGCTGCTTATACGCTCTTATATGCTCATATACTATAATTGGCTAGAGCGCCATCTATGAGACACTAAGCTTTTCAAAGCATATATTGTGAAAAGGGAAACAGCTGTGACATATTCTTATAGATGACGGCAGTCTCCCACTTCACATCTCGGATAAGTTTTTGGACGCGGGAATATAGGCATTAGGTTGGTTGTCTCAAGACAAATCAATTATAATTTATTCATCTTATATACGTAACAACCGAAGTTATTTGATTTTTCAAAAAAGTTTATAACACCGCCTAAGTCAGTTTTCATTTGACTCTCCAGTAGTATACGTTGATCAACGGTAGGACCCAAAAAATAATGACGCAAGTTTCTGTAAAAAGATGTCAGAATATCAAATTTATGCAAAAACAAGAGACTCTCAATAGTTGCTTTTGTACGTATTAAAATACCAATCAAATTCCCGTTGACTTTCCACGCCAAATAGCGAAGAAATTTCGAAAATGAGATATTGTTTTTTTGATATTACACTGTTGGTCTGTCCGCTAATTCTTGGCCCCTCTATAATTTGGAAAGTACCCTTCGGCTTTTAATGAAATTTTTACACAAAGTTACTACAATGTCCGGGTGGAATGTTCTCGAATCTTGCATGTGACATATTCTCGCGTGCGACACTGGAACTTTATTTTTGTGATTTTTGGCATCGTTTTTCATTGTACTTGTACTTTTGTCAGGTTATTTGATTTTAAGACTGGTGTTAGAAAAAGTGAGCAATAGCAAAGATAAAAGTAAGTATTTTTAAGCTACTGATACTCCTACTTAAAATCTGCCGTTTTCTTTAACGGTGAAAAAATCTCTAACACGTCATTAATTGTCGCGAGGTCTTAGGTTTGCGAGATTTTGTTGAAAGGAATAAGGCATTTTCTAACTTTCGTGCGGCATTGTAATTATATCGCATGCTATATTTACCATTCGACATTCGAAAACACTCCCTCGGATATAAAAGCTTCATAGTTTCTGAAAATCGATTTAGTATGGGCAATGCTACGAGCAAAAATCGCAAAACTAATACCTCTCATACTTCGTTTCTTAGCGTTTCAGAGAATGCTGCTTATTTTTGAAAATTTCTCAGGAGTAAAAAAATTGGGGTGGAAGGTTGCAGGGAGTGATGCACGGTGTGTCTCAATTTTTTGGGGATCGGCATCTGTATTTATGTGACTCCGGTACTTCTACGTACCTATTAGACATATTTTACTCACAGATTTTCCCGTATATTTGCCCATATGCCCTTGAAACTTGGAGTGAGACAAATATTCTCAAGACACATCAAATGCAACAAACAAGGGCGATACACTTGTTGCGGGGTTGACAGCTGGCGTGCGATGTTTAGTTTCAGCAACGTTGCCAGATGTTAGGTACTGTCAAGTGGAGGATTTAAGGATTCTGGGGTCCGAAGCAAAACGTTTGTAGGTAGTGATGGCAGATATTCCAACTGTGATACCCATAGAATATAATAGAATAAAATAATGCTTTGTGTGAGCCTGTGAACATGCTACAAAAATTTGGGATACATAAACACATAAAATTTTATTGTAATTCGAAAGTCATGACCATGTCAAATCATATCAGATATCACAGATATTCAAAAACAACGATATCGGCTATTATTTATACGGCCCATCTAAGAAACAAGAATACTGAAATAGATGGCAGTGCCGGGTGCCCGAGAACCATGATCTAATCTGGGCCCCTGGAACCACGTTTTGGGGTCAACTGGCCTCCCCGGACTAATTAACTTTTTCTTACAAGGGCCTAACTCGTGCCGAATATAATCTTTTATGGAATGATGACAGCGTTATGTGGGAAATGTAGTCAACCTACTTGACGCCATTTTTTGCTTGCAGGTGCCGACGTGAACTACACAGCGAAGCACAACATCACCCCGTTGCACGTGGCCAGCAAATGGGGCAAGATTAATATGGTGACTTTGTTGATCGCTAAAGGGGCCGACATACAAGCTAAGACCCGCGATGGACTGACGCCCTTGCATTGCGCTGCAAGGAGCGGACACGACCAGGTGGTTGATCTGTTATTGGAAAATGGGGCTCCGATACATGCTAAAACTAAGGTGAGCTCATAGCATGTGGTCATAGGGTCATCTACGAAGGGGTTTAGGTAGCTAGCTACCGGGTGTTTCAAATTCGAGCCTCACTATTGGCATCTCGGAAACGGTAAGAGATACGAAATTGCTTAAAGGGGGCAAAGTTGCGTAGTGAAGTAACTAACAAATTGTCGCTTGGAAAGTATCAAAATTCAAAGTACTTCCGGAGAGAGACGGAAAAACCAAAATCATTTTAGAAAATTATTTGTAGTGGAATTTAATAATGAATTGTACATTAACATTGCTACTTTTTTTCCTCTATGATGGCCTAATCAAAATTTCAATATAACGATTATTTTTTATTATGGACGCCATTTTGGATATTTGCACAAATTAATAGTTTTTAATTATTCAAAAAATGCATAACATGTCATAGATTGATATTGCCAAACATTAGTTATTAGGTAGTCGTTGAAATTATCAGCTTTTTTTTTTGAACTGCCTAGGGTTACTAGAACTGGGAAAAGCTTCCTCTTGTAGATTGTCCAACAATCTCGACACCCTCGGGACAAAGGATGGGACGAAAGAGTCCCGAGACTGTCTGTTAGAGAAGAGTCATCGATCAGTCGGACTGCCCTCCTCTGGACAGCATTGAGCATAAATAATCTAGTCGGGGCGGCATTACCTCAAACGTTTGAGCAATACTCGAGGCTAGGCCTTATCTGGGCCTTGTATAGAGTGAGAAGGTCATGCGGAGAAAAGTACTTCTTAGCCCTAAACAAATAGCCTAACTTTTTCTCAGCAGCTGCCGCTATTGACGAGATGTGTTCGTGCCAGGTCCTCGGTGATCTGGACTCTGACCAGCCGAAATGAATGACTCTTTGGCACAACTCGGACATCCATCGAAATCGGATGAGCGCTAGGACGCTTTTTGTTCGTCAAAGTACACTACTGTTTTTTGGACGCATTAAACTGTACAAGATTGTTGCGTCCCCAAGCAGTGATAGCCTCCAGCTCTTTTGTCAGAGAGAAAGTCGTCGCTAGTCTTCTTTTTTTCAGCTCAGCGCCAGAGATCGGCTTGTCACTCTGAATTCCTGTGGTTAGAGTGCTGTCATCGGCGAAGCTGTGGATTGGGTTGATCGTGCAGGAAAGGAGGTCGTTGATATCTAAGAGGAACAATGTCGGAGCCAAGACCGATCCCTGGGGAACACCCGCGTTGACGTTGTGGGATGAAGAGGAGAACCCGTCAATTACAACGGATATCTTGCAGCCAGAGATAAAGTTAGCCACCCATCTGCAAAGCGTTTCTGGGAGGCCATAGGATGGAAGTTTGCTTAAGAGTTCAGCGTGACACATCTGATCGAACGCTTTCGTGATGTAATTTGTTTTATATACCAGATTATCACAAAATCATTTTTATTTTTTCCTGACTTTATTTGAGATGCGATTTCGAAATAAATTGCATTTTGTCATTGCCACTTTTTTTCTAGAACGTATTCAAATTTTGAATTCGAGGTTTCTTCTTCCGACATCCATCACCAACTTTTTTATATGGACGCTATATTGGAATTTTTTACATTTAAATGCTACTAAAAACTTACTACTTTAATTAAATATGCGATGCTTACTAAATGCAGAATCAAAAATTGTGTTCGATTGCGCAAAATTTCAATAGATTGTCTATAAGAAAAAAACGTCTAATTGATAATTTGACTACACGCTCTTGTAGAGGAGAACGAGTGGCAATGCCAATATGAAATTTATTTTAAAATCTCATTTCAAATGAAACCAGGAAATAAACAATGATTTTTCACTAAATCTGGTATATGAAACAAATGACGATCGGATAACTTCAAGGCCTACCTAGAAAATTCTATTCTTTTTAAATAGCTAAGGTTTGACAATGTCCATGTATGATATTATATATCTACTAAAAACCCTATTCATACATCCAAAAATGTAATATGGCGTCTATTAGAAAAAATAAAGTTGATGCTGGAGGACAAGAGACTGAACATATTGAAACCGTAGTTATACCATATTTTAGAGAACAAAAAGTGGCAATGTTAATGTGCAATTTATTTTGAAATCCCACTGTAAAGTCAGGAAAGATCAAAACGATTTTGGGAAAAAATGTTCCGTTTATCTCCTGAAGTACTTTGGATTTCAAAACATTCTAAGCGGCATCTTGTTATTAGCCTAAATACTCAATTTTTACCCCCCATGTAAGGCAATTCGTATCTCTTACCGTTTCCGAGATCCCAAAGGTGATGGTCGAATTTCAAACACCAGGTATACTGGTGCTTCCTAATTGGATGTCAATATCTAAGAGGGCGATTTTTGCGTCCCTTTTAAGAAGAAAACTTCATTTGAACGTATAATAATAACAGTTAAACTTTTGAGATGCATAAACTATTCTTAAAATGCTCTTCGGGGACTTGTAGTGCAAGGCTTATAACTTTAATTTAGATACATGGCGATCTGAAAAATGACAATTTTTAACCGAGTTTTGACGCATTAAATATACCCATTTTTAGCGTTTTAGAGAAAAGCTACTGGATGCCTTTTTTGTTCGGAATGATCCACAAAATCTGAAAAAAAGTATCGAGCGAAAAATAAAATTATTTTGCAATTTATTTAACAGAAATTGAAAACTTGATCAGGGTTTCTGAGTGGCTACCTCTTGTTTCATGTTAAGGGACATTCAATTACATCATCAAAAACATCTCTCGCAAATGCATTGTTTTAACCTCTCCTAATGTGTTAAAAAATGATCACTGGATATTGTGGAAGTCATTAATTGACCAGTTTGGAATGAGTAATTGTAGCTAACAAACAAATTCCCCTCGTTTTTCTTAAATTTTCTTATAAAGCTACAAATTATATTATCAGCCTACCATACATTTAAATTCGACTGCTACGATTTTTAAACCTTTTTTTTGGGCCAAATTAGCAAACTACTTGTATGCCAAATTTCATTAAAATATCTAAAGTGGTTTTTACATATATTAATAATAAATGGTCTATTTTCCAAAAACTCTCATAATTTCCAAAGTATATTTTCAAATTCATAATTGTACTCTGCTGCTGCTGTCTTATAGGCGATGCTAGTATCTTTCAGATCTCTTTTTGGATGCTTGTTGCATATCTTCAGGTAGAATACGTTAATCGATGGAAATACCGAAAGTTTCCCTGATAAGTCTAATTAATTTCAAAAATATAATGTTGTGAACTATCTTTCGCCTTTCAGAACGGCTTGTCTTCCCTTCACATGGCCGCCCAAGGGGAGCACGTGGACGCCGCCCGTGTTCTTCTCTACCACGGCGCCCCTGTGGATGACGTCACAGTCGACTACCTGACGGCCCTTCATGTGGCCGCACATTGTGGCCACGTACGTGTGGCCAAACTGCTACTAGACAGAGGCGCGGACCCAAACTCCAGGGCGTTGAATGGGTTCACTCCACTTCACATTGCGTGTAAGAAGAATAGACTCAAGGTGGTGGAGTTGCTGTTGAAGCATGGAGCCAGTAAGTATTTTGGACACATACGAGTGCACTAAACATCTCACCTCTGAAGTATTGATATACGAAACACTTACGCGGAAATGTGCGTGTGCTGTGACAATCCCAACCAGAAGGTTGAACAACCCGACTTTTGTTCATTTGCCCTTCCGCACCCTGACAGTGACAGGAGACAGCGCCACGAGACGGCGACGTACGACAGTGACAAAAGATCTGTCTCTGGTGTACGAGGGATGTCTTTTAAGTTTTGCATATGGAAATAAAACAACACGGTAGGTAGTTTTAAATGACTTTATTGTTTTTCGAAGTATTCTTCACGAAGCATGCGCTCGAACCAATTTTCGAAGCACTTATTCTACTCGTTTGCTGGCAGATCCAAAACGGCATTTTTGAATGCGTCAACTGCTTCTTCTGGTGACTGGAAACCACGCAGTCTGTTTTTAATTTTTGGGAAAGTAAAGAAATCGTTAGAACTTAGATCGGGACTATATGGAGGATGGTCCAATAATTCCACGTTTTCTTCCGTTAAATACTGCCTTGTTTTTTGGGCTGTGTGCGAGCTTGCATTGTCTTGGTGGAGTATGATTTTTCTTTCGGGGTTGATTTTTCGAAGCTCGGTGATGACTTTTGGCAAACAAATGGTGGTATACCAATCCGCAGTAACAGTTCTTTGCTGATTAAGAGGAATTGTTGCAATATGACCCGCTTTTGACACAAATGTCGCGACCATCTTTTTCGAAACGGATTACTTTTGTTGGCTTTTCTTCGCCTTGGAACACCCAAACAGCCGACTGTCGTTTATTTTCTAGTTCATAACAGTAAATCCACGATTCATCACCACTAACAATGCTGTACACATTTTTTGAGTTTCCAGAATTGAAACGGTCACGCGTGTTTTGACACCAGTTAACCCTAGCTGGTTTCTGCGCCTCAGTCAACAGGTGGGGTATCCAACGAGAAACTAATTTTCTTACTCCTAATTCTTCATGTAAATTATTTTGAATTGAGGTCTTTGAGATATTCAAGGACGCCTCAATCTCGCGATATGTCACATGTCTATCTTCAATGATGAGTTTGCGGACAGCATCGACGTTTTCCTGGGTGACTGCTGTTTTTGGTGCACCCACCCTGGGATCGCCGCTAAGACTCACCCGCCCACGTTTGAATTCTCCATACGAACGGGAAATTGTCGACTGATGTGGCACTTCGTTGCCGAAAACAGACGGTAACTCAGCAAGGCATTCTTGTTGCGATAATTGTCTCTAAAAGTTGTAAGAAATTATGGCGCGAAAATGTTCTCGGTTGAGTTCCATTTTTCTAATGACTTGGTGACACTTAAAAATTCACTGTAGTGAGAACACGTATTGTTGTGAAACTTTGAATTTAAGTTTACTAAAGAGTGAGGTTAAGATTCAGTACTGACGTTCGATCCGCGCGGCCTACTATGTTTCTATATGCAAAACTTAAAAGACATCCCTCGTAACTGTCAAGACAGGTGTGAGTTGACAGTACCATGGAACAAATAATACAATAATCAAATCCAAGCGAATAACCAAAATTTCTGTGTTATGTGCCGCGGTTATAATATGGTTCAAGATGACACACGGGTTGATGGCGTCAGTTACACGAATCGCTTGAACGCGTTGGTTTTAACCGCGGTTTTGTTGCAAGTTGTTTATTTTAGAAAAGCGCGTATATAATCTCTGATTATTTTTATTATCACTTAATAATCGGTGCTTTTTCGTCTACAACTGTATATGGAAAGTTTAAATAAGAAACCATTCATAATATTCAAGGGAGAAATGTTTTTTCAGATTTTTTTTTTAATGATGGAACCATGGCTTTGTAGCTATGATAACTTTCAATTCTCTAAATTTTTCCGCATGTCAAAGAAAACATTTATTGATTCAGCAGAAATGATGAAAAAAGAAATTAGCAAAACCGTATACAGGTGGATATCATCTAGTGAGTTTATATGGCCATATTTTAATATTCTTGTGGTATATGGCTACACAGGTTACTTTGTTAAGCATAGGAACTACATTTAAAGTGTCCCCAACAACCGTAATGAGTATAACTAATAAGGTGCTCCACTTTATGGTAAAACTGAAGTCAGCCTGTATCATTTTTCTCAAAAATGAAGCTGGAGTACAATAACAATATCCAATACCGGGCAAAATTCTAACTTGTCACATTTCAAATAATAACCAGAAATATAAAACTACTCTTGAGTTGGGTAAATACCACAATTTTGCGGTGATAACTATGACATATAACAGCTGATTCGTGACGTCACGGATCTTATAACCAAACTGATAACTACACTCGCTTGAACGGATTGGTAAATACCAACCCAAAATGGTAAATACCATTTCCATTTGGTTATCCGCTTGAATTTGATTAATGCTTTTTCAGTTAGATAGTAATATGTCATAGTTTTTTATGACATTATGTAGGTTTTCCTCTAAAATCTCACCTTTGAACTAGCTGACAAGCTGACATTCACTTTATGCTCACTTGTAGTAGGCGCGGAATGAGCTAGCGGCTATCTGGTGCACAAGTTTTTACCGATGTTTTCACATTATACAGGTTTTTTACATAATACTCCAGCCGTTCAAGAAAACGTACTAAAACTTACTTAGAGGTACCTTTTGTTTAAAAGCACTGTATCTGTATACGAGAATAAAACAATGCACTTCAAAAAAACTCATAAGTTCATAATACAAATTCTGAAATCCGAATTTAATATCTCATGGTGACAGTGACCTTTAGACCTATGACTTTTTACGATTATAATCTTTTTTATTTTTCAGGTATAAGTGCGACAACTGAAAGTGGTTTGACTCCTCTCCATGTAGCTAGTTTCATGGGTTGTATGAATATCGTCATATATTTATTACAACATGAAGCTAGTCCTGATATACCTACCATCAGAGGAGAGACGCCTTTGCATCTGGCGGCTAGGGCCAATCAGGTTAGTATGGACATGAAACAAGTACATTCATCAAGTATATTCCTAATCACCATATATTTACGAAAGACAAGATAACAAATAAGAAAACAAACAGGCCCGTATCCAGTTGAAAATGGTAGCTAGGTTCAAATGTTGCAAAACAAAAGAAGCTCTTTCTTATTTTTGCATATCATGCCATGCAATTTTTCACGCGAGCTGTGCAAATAGATTGAGTTCAATTGTAAAGCTCTCAAATAACAGAGTATATTGTTCTGCTGCCTGTGAATCGGAGGATAACGAGCATCGAAACTACGATTCTTACACTACAGAAATTAACTCATTAAAGCACGAGATACAAGATAAAGAGAAACATATAATTAGATTAACGAAGAAGGCCAAGGATTTTGAAGAAGATGTTTTTGAATCTGAACAAAGTTTCATAGAGGAGCAAAATTCTTTTAAAGACCAATTGAAAAACCAAAAAGAAAGAATGTGTACACTACAAAAAGAAATAGTCGACGCAGAAGAGAAGAACAAAAACCTTCAGAAACAGATGGACAGTTATGAACAAATGACAAAAGACATGCAAACAGAGATGACGAAGCTAAAAAATATTCATGCCGATATGCTGAAAACCATTAGTCTTTTGGAAGAAACAAACAATGCATACTCAAGGAAAATAGGCGAATTAGAAGAAAGAACAAAAGAAGACAGGTGTCGATTGTCGGAGAACACTGAAGGAAATGCCAACGATCAACAGAATATATTAGACGATAGGGATAAACAGCTGAGGACTGAGGAAAATGTATCTTTGTATGATGAACTTTTTAAACAATCCAGGAACAGTGCGAAGACTTCCAAGAAACTGCTCATTGTGGGCGATCAATTGGCCAGAAACTGCGCTAGAGTCTTACATAATTCAATGAAGAGCATAGGCTATATAGTTGAAGGAATTGTTAAGCCCAACACAGAGGCTGCAAATATCACAAGTAATATTTTCACTCAAACTATGGATCATGGACAAAGTGACTATGTAATTATTGTTTTCAGCACAAAAAACATAAGCAACCACAAAACATTGAACAGTTTTCTTAGAAATGTATTACCACTGGGTAAATTTACAAATCTAGTAATTCTTCTAAAGTCCGAGCCTGTAGATGAAGCCTTAGCAGTTCTATTGGAAAACAAAATAACTAGTTATATTAAAAATAACCCTAACTGTTCAGTGAAGTTATTAGTAGTAAAGAATGGTTTTCGCAAATCACTGGCAAACATCATAAGAAGTCATGTGCAGACGAGCTGCTCTACCCTCAAAAGAAACGTTTTGTTATCGCCTCCAATAATTCCAATTTATAAAATGGAACGTCGAGTGCATTGCAACAGTGAGAGTACTGGTGCTTTTTTACTGGCCAGTGGGAATCCGATACTAATCACCTAGTAAGACATGATTCGGGTAAACAGAATGTATCGAAAAATTCCTTATCACACGCTCGCGCCTGTGAAGTGCGCACGAATGATTGTCGGTATAAACTTTTACATTTAAACGTACAGTGTTTGAGAAACAAGGTTGATGAACTTGAGTTGGTGGCAAAACAGCACAGTTATGACTTTCTTTGTTTGAATGAGCATTGGTTGACTTGCGATGAGATTAATACTCTGAATATTTGTGAATATATGAATGTGTCTAGTTTTTGCAGGTCAAGCAAAATCCACGGTGGTGTTTGTATTTATGTCAATAATAAGTTTAGTGCTAAGCCTTTGTGTGACAAAGTTTTAAACATTTCTGAGGAGTTACACTTTGAGGTTGCTGGTGTCACCTGTTTGGATGGCACACAAATTCTAACCATATATAGATCACCAAATGGAGACTTCAATATATTCTATAATAAGCTTCAAATACTACTTAGTACTTTAGACTATAAGCAAAATATAATCATATCTGGTGATTTTAATTTTAAATTTAACACTCACGACAAGCATGCCAATGTGATGTGTGATATTTGTGTTTCTTTTGGACTGTATCAGACTGTGAATGTGAATACTAGGCAGAATGCTTGTCTAGATAATATTTTCACCAATATAAACATGTCAAGCATAGTTGTAGAAGCCTTTGATACATGTTTTTCTGACCATTTAGGTATTGCATTTCATTTTAATTTGAAAACTCTAAAACCTGTTAGGAAGAGAATAAACTACAGGCCTGTCACTGATGAAGGTCTTTTCAAGTTATACAGTAAAATTGAAACAGTCGACTGGATCTTTTTGTCTGATATTAGTTTACCACTGACCACTAAACTCGAACGATTCATGAACATCTTAACAAATAATATCGCTGAGTGCTTGCCAATCAAATCTAGGTTAGTATCAGAGGGTTGTCGCAACAAAATCAACTGGTTTGATCACGAATTGGCTCATATGAGAGAGACTTTGGAACTAATAACACAAATTAATAAAGATAATCCCCAAGTAGTATCAAAGAAGGAGATTAATGTCTTCAAATCAAAGTACCGATCAGAAATCAGAATTAGGAAAAAAAATGCTCATGATAAATTTATACGTAGAGCGTCAGATAAACAAGCAGCTATGTGGAACGTGATTAAATCCAATGGTGTGCAATCATCAAAAGCACATTCGTCTACTCTCAGCGCGAATGATTTAAACTCTTTCTTCGTCAGCATTGCTGATACCATTATCGCTGAAATTCCAGCTGCCCAGTCGAACTTCAAAGATTTTATACAAACTAGTGATACACTACATTTCAACTTTCGAACTGTTTCATTCAATGATGTTCGAGACGCAATCAAAAGCTTAAAGAATTCTAAAAGTAAAGATCCATATGACATCGATGTTAAAATTATGAAGACCTTAAATAACTTGTTAGTATATCCTATAACAAAATTGATAAACATGTGTATAGAAAATAATGTCTTTCCTGCCTTATTAAAACTTGCAAAGATTGTGCCACTCTTCAAGAAAGGCTGTGAGAATGATCCATGTAATTTCAGACCCATCTCTATAATACCAATTATAGCAAAAATTTTCGAAATTCTTCTGAAGAATCAGATATGTGGATACTTCGAAAGTAACAATTTATTCTGTAACAACCAGTTTGGATACCGTACCAACAGATCAACGAAAACAGCAATAAACAATTTTATCAGTTTCATCAACAAATGTCTGGAAGATAACATGTTTGCCCTCGCTAACTTCTATGATCTTACAAAAGCATTTGATTGTGTCCAACATCACATTTTGATTCAAAAGTTGTCTCTGTATGGTTTTAGTAATAATAGCATGTCCTTAATTGCGTCTTATTTATCAGATAGAAGACAGTATGTTAGTTTTCAAAATTGTTTATCCAACAATGTGCATATTAAGCACGGAGTTCCCCAAGGAAGTGTCTTGGGACCGATTCTTTTTTTGATCTACATCAATGATCTGCCAAACTGTAGCATCAATCAGTATATATTATTTGCGGATGACACGACATCAATATCCTCCAATAGTAACTTTGATCATGTATTGCTCGATTCTCAGCAGCATTTTGACAACATTCAAAACTGGTTTAATGCCAACAGTTTGTCAATCAACATAGCTAAAACTCAATCTCTTCTACTCAGTACTCGTCCACATAGAAGTGATTTAATAGAGCCCGTGAAATTTCTTGGAGTGATTATTGATGCAAGCTTAACTTGGGAATCACACATCACTTCTTTATCAAAGAAGTTATCTAAAATAACATATATGATACGTAGTTTAAATACCTACGTAACAAAATCGACTTTAATGACAGCCTATTATGCTTACTTCCAATCTAACTTGCAATACTGCATACTGATTTGGGGACATTCATGTCATGTATCGAAGGTGTTTGCTGTTCAGAGACGATGCTTGAGAATAATAGCAAACTTATATTTCAGACAGTGTTGCAAGACGACATTTATCGACCTAAAAATTTTAACTGTGCCATGCATATATATACTGGAATGTCTGATCCACGTTAAAAATAATTACGATGATTACAGAACTCCGAAAGAGATTCACAAATATAACACAAGGTTCAACAATGAATTAATACCAGAGTACACAAGACTTTCAAAAACTAGACACGGAAGTAATTATTTCGGTGTGAAATTTTTTAATGCGCTGCCCAAGTTTTGTCAAACACTCAACTCAACCATTTTTAAAGCAACTGTGAAAAGATATTTAGTGACGAAAGCTTTTTACAGCATAGATGAGTTTTTAAATAATGATTTTACCGACTTTGTTCCATAATTGTTGACTATTTATTACTTTGTTTTCGTTTGTTTTCTTTATGTGTTATTTTTGTATTATATTTTATCGTTCTCCAGACGTGTGTAAGGACATTTGAGTACAAACATGAAAAAATGATTAGTATTTCATAATTTTTTAACCATCTTATTTTATTGTTCCTCTAAATTTTAAAATAGTTTTAACAAGTTTTTTTTTACCTTTTATTGCCACTTTGTGTTTTACGTTTGTCTTATTTTCGTATTGTTTGTTACTTTTACTTACTCTTTTATGTTCTACTTTAAATGACCTGTGCAAACACATTTTTGTGTAATAGTACCAATAAATTATTATTATTATTATTATTATTATTATTTGTTAATGACTGAAGTGAATTATAAATTTTTCCTTGTTTTAAATATATGTTTGCTTAACTCGGGCACCTTGAAACCCTTGAAAGTTATCCTGCGATGTTGTTATTACTACCGGATTTTTTTCTTATGTCTTATTTTATCTCAAATGTGCCGATGTTTTACTTCGCCATATCAAGGCCAAACTGTTGTGTCTTTAATTATTTCCTCACAAGACAAACAACACAGATATTTAAGTACTATTTCGCGAATTTTGGATTCATGAACAATGTATAGGCAGCATTAGTAGTCGAAGATTTCATAAGAGTTAACCAGTATGTTGTATCAATGGTCCTGGGTGGGTTTCTCGCGTTCTTTAGGGGCATTTATCGTTGTCGGGACGATGGACGAGGGTGGCATGTTTGGTGCATTAAAAAACTACTGATAACCCCATGCTCGCGTGTCGGTTTTGGGTCTGGATGTGCTTTGGGAACGGAAATGCCTACCCCAGGCGATTCTAGGCTTTTCTAGTTTTACTCGGTGACATATTAAAATTGCAATGATAGCTCCGCGCGATCTCGTCATGCTTCAGGACCGTTCAATCTACTGTCGCAACACACTGTATAGGAGTGAAGAAAGTAGAAACCAAATGAATTATCACCTGGGAGGCACATAAACAAAAATATATTATTATTGTACTTGGAAAATGCCACCGTGGTGGCCAAAACGATGTACAGAAAAGAAAAAAAAACACATATGTCAACTTTTTTTTGTTTTCCCAGACAGACATCATCAGAATTCTTCTCAGGAATGGCGCAGCTGTGGACGCACAAGCCAGGGAAGAACAGACTCCACTTCATGTTGCATCCAGATTAGGCAATGTTGACATCGTCATGTTGCTCCTTCAACATGGAGCACAACCACATGCCACTACCAAAGATCTTTATACTCCGCTGCATATTGCCGCTAAAGAAGGACAAGAGGAGGTGGGTTGCTCACTTTTATACAGGGTGTTATGAAAGTTTGGTGCTCTCCTTTTCGGGAACAACACGTTTGAAATGAAAAGCTAATCTGCGGCAAAAAATGGTTTATTGACTTTTTCCTCAATTTGTAACCTTCAGGGATGTCTAGGTCTTCTGATGGGTCTACATTGACATTCATATAAACGGTCTTTTGGCCTTTGTACGAGAGAAACAAACTTACGTGGCTCAGGATGGAAATACTCAGGAGCACATCAGGACCATAATTTTGTTTTTGCTATAGAAATGTGCCAATTTTTATTATTTCAAATATGATTTGTACATAAACAGCTAGGTTAACACCACGCGGCATCTGATTTGGATACTGTCTGACGTCATATGTGATTTTTCACGCTGGTCGCGTGACCATGTTGGACAATTCAATTTTTTTTTCGGAACTCAATATCTTGGTGTATGTGTCGCTAGCTACTTATTTTCACATGAACTGCACGCTATGTAAAGACTCCCAACTTTAAGAACAACTTCTATAATCTAAGAAATGTGCTACACAACACATGGCGCCTGGGTTGGATACAGGTGGAGATCATATATTTTCACCTAACCATCTGGTTCGGAGTATGTGCTAACATTGATTAACTTATTATTGCATTCGATAGCCAAACAATTATTCGAGTTGAAAGAAGATATCATGGCAATAAATAGAAATCTATTTTATTTCGCCGGCGGCGTGTGAAGGATAGACCCAGCCTTAAAAACACTGTATTGCGCTCTCACTAAAGACATTTATACCTATAACATTGTTTTTACATATATCTTTTCAGGTAGCGTCGGTTCTTCTGGACAATGGCGCAGACTTGACAGCCACGACGAAAAAAGGCTTCACACCTCTGCATCTAGCAGCAAAATACGGCCATCTCAACGTGGCCCGTTTGCTATTGCAAAGGGATGCACCGGCTGATGCGCAAGGCAAAAATGGCGTCACTCCTCTACATGTTGCTGCGCATTATGACCACCAACCTGTTGCATTACTGTTACTTGACAAAGGTGAATAATAAATAATTAGAATTCTTTCCGAAACAGGGCATTTGCGTTCCGTTTGTGCGACATAAAAGGTGATATAAGCATGGTCGGCTATGTTTTTTCAATAAAATGGTATATATTGCTGTACTTAAAAATGATCTTGCCCCGGGGCGAACATCTTCATAAAGATGAATGATGCGACCACGGCGGCGCGCTTCCTAGACAGATTCCTAAAACCGCCCATGTATTAAATGCGGTCTAAATGACCACTATCAAACATAATTTAGATCGCTGGGGCCGAATAGAAAGTCACTGTAGATATAACTGGTACTTTTTTTTTTTATACTCCAACTGCCACGAAGGCCTAAGGCCTAAGCACCCATTGGGTACCGTGGGGCTATAGGGGGATACATGGGAAAGGGGGAGACGCCACACGGACTCTGGCGAGGGAACACGTGTGCATGCAACATGCACACATTCTGGCTCCGCCTACGAGAACCGCCGGGTGGTACCTCCGCGTTCGACAGTCAGAGACCATCTACCACCTACGGACAATCACAACATCCATAGCCAAGAGAAAAATTTCTCCTGGGATGGGACTCGAACCCGCACAGCGCACGGCGACTGATCAGGAGACCGAAGAGTCTACTACTGCGGCCACCGCTGCTGCCTAAAACACACACACAACATCCATGGCGAAGGCGAGATTCGAACTCGCGGCCCGGCCGGCCGGCTGATCAGTAGCACGACACTCTGACCCACGCGGCCAACCGAGGTCCCCACTATATATTATTATTAGTATTATTATTCAGCGAAAAATTGCAAAAATGCGCGACTTTGAGGTGATAGAAATAGATTTTTGCTATGGACGCTACATGGGAACAAAGCTTGCTACATTGAAGTAGTTTGGGACGATGAATCTGTATATGACTCTGATAAACGTCTAAAGCGTTGTGGGACACTGCTCGTCGGCAGAAGATCAAGGTACATAGAACCTTCTTACGACACCCCATTGTAGAGACAAAAAAGGCGATGCCGAGTCCAGAAGAAAATATGGCAAAGTCGTTCGTAATGCTAAATACCAGCACGATGCAAGGATAAGGGACAAAGTAATATCGCAGAGCAATAGCAGTCGGTCTTTCTGAACGCTGACCAAGCAGATTGGGGGTAACTTTCAAAGATTAGCCTTCCAACGCTTACATCCAGGATAAAACGATTGTAACCGACTCAAAGGCTAAGTCGGAAGTGCTTTCCAAGATCTTTGCTACCAACTCCACCACAGACATCAACCCCCCCCTCCAGTCATCTGACTCATTCAGTCATATATTCATATGGTAAGGCTCATAACGTTGCTCTTGATAACATGAAAACGTTTGATCAGCTGTGGCATGCTGCTGTCTTATGCATACTTCTATCCTTTGGCCTCCCAGAGAAGCTTTACAGATGATGGTTGATTTCCTTTCTGGCTGCAAGATTTCCATCGTAATTGACGAGTTCTCTTTATCCCACAATGCCAGTGCGGGTGTTCCCCAGGGATCGGTCTTGGCTCCGACATTGTTTCATATCAACGACCTCCTTTCCTGTGCGAAGAATTCGAACTACAGTTGTGCTGATGCAGGAATTCAGAGTGACAAGCCGAGCTCTGAGCAGGATAAAAGAGGACTAATAGCGACTTCCTCTCTGTCGAGAGACCTGGAGGTTATCACTGCTTGGGGATGCAATAAGCTGGTACAGTTTAATGCTTCCAAGACACAGTGACTAAATTGAAGCGGCCTAATGCTGATCTGGTTTACATGGAAGGCCGAGTTCTACCAAAGAGCCATTTAAGATTTTCGGTAAAAAATTATCCGTCTGGTGCCACACATTAATCCCAGCACAGAATCGGATTTTGGACTAGATATATGGACAAAGAATTATCTATTTTTTCCGTAGACCCTTAGACACTCTAAATTTGCACCATACAACGTTTTCATTTCAAGTTTCGTCTCTCGTGACTAAAACGGGATGAACATCGGTATACTCAAAGAAAATTTTGGTGCTGAATATAGCCCTGAAAAAAATCTGAATTGTTGTGAAGCCGAATTTATGCCAGAATACGGAATCTTAGACTCTTCCGACCCTTACGAAGTCTTATGACTCTGACACACTCGATTTCCAAACAACATTCAATATTTATTAGTTTGGTCTCTTTTCAGGTGCTTCTCCACACGCCACTGCCAAAAATGGACACACTCCATTGCATATTGCTGCCAGAAAGAATCAAGTAAGTGATAAAGTAAAAATTGTCAAAAGCTTACTCAGTCCAAAAATAAAAAGAAACCTACTTACAATACCAATATGGTAAATATTTTTTAGGCCGTTTAAGTCACATACAGTACAATTCATTTACTTTTTCTGTCTTGGCTTTCAATGTGTACGAGAAAGAAAGAGAGAGAGAGATAGGAACGTGCATTACCAATGCTTATCTTAGACACAGTGCGCCCTATAAGCATCCTCTCTACGTTGCCTGAAAACGACAGTGAGGGAGGACGCAGAGCGCGGCTGTAACCTCCCCATTGTTGTTATCAGGCAACGTGGTGACGACGCTAATAGGGCGTTTTCTTTCTAACATATATGTCGCATGGTGTTGCGCGCTTCTGTCTCTCGTACACATTGAAAGCCAAGACCAAAAAAGTAAATGAATTTCACTGTAGGATAACATCTTCTATTATATCTATTATATTTTTCTAGATGGACATTGCTACAACCTTACTAGAATATGGTGCTCAAGCAGATGCTGAATCTAAAGCCGGTTTCACACCTCTACATCTTAGCTCACAAGAAGGTCATTCTGATATGTCGTCGCTTCTGTTGGAGCATAAGGCCGATCCTAACCATGCAGCTAAGGTAAGAAAAAAGTTCTGGAATTTATCCGGACTTTGCCAAGACGGATCTACAAACTGGAATCAGAGATGATATAAAAAATACGATAATTTTGTTCCGGTCAAAATTTAAAAAAATAGAAAATTTTTCACCGATCAATATACTTTAAATAATATTGGCACGAATTTTCGTATGGACAACATTTTTGACTTCCCACGCCTTCAGAGTGAAAATGAAATGTTATGTTTTTTGGATATGGTATGTGTGCATCACGAAAAACCATGCCACTCATTCCCGTCGTTCTATCCGTCCGCTAATCCTTGACCCGTCTATAACATGGAAAGTACCGCTCGGATTTTGATGAAATTTTGTCAAGTTTTTGAAAATCGGTCTCGTTATGGAGGAGCTGAGGGCAAAAAAACTAAAAAAGAAAAAGGAAAATCGCTCATTCATCGTTCTTTGATGTTTCAGAAACCCTAGATCATTTTCGGAAAAACAATTGTAGGTGTTAAAAGTCGGTGGTTCGAGACTCAAGGGGATGGGGCAGGGTATTACTCAATTTTTTGGCAGCATTATATTTAAACGCATCCAACCCTTGTACGCACCTGTTAATACATATTTCACACATCACACATTTTTCCGTACACTTGAAATATTTACAGATGCGGCATGTGTCGGTCGCGGTCACCCGGCACCGCTCATGCACCAAGCCTTGCCAGCGCCTGATCTCAAGTTATAGTATATTGGCGTGATTGACTCTTGTGGTTCAGCATTGTTGCCAGATGGGCGATATATTCGGTAGGATAGGCAAGAAATTTCTAGCAATATCGAACGGGTAGTGACTATGGACTAATTGTATGAGCCAGTTTGGACGAATTGATCTATTTAATTTTCTCATTATACATATACTAAGCTAAATTTTACCTCAGAGGGGCTAACTTGTGCCGAACATAACCTTTCATGAACTAACTGATGATACCGTTGCGTGGGAAGTGCAGAGTCAACCTACTTGACGTAATTTTTTTTCTACAGAATGGTCTTACACCTGTGCACCTCTGTGCCCAAGAAGACCGAGCATCTGTGGCCAAACTTCTCCTTCGAGCTGGCTGTGATCCAAATGCTCGTACTAAAGCCGGTTTCACACCTCTCCACGTGGCTTGTCATCACGGACACGTCAACGTTGCAAGGCTCCTTATCGAACATAGCGCTGACGTGAATCCAGCAACTCAAGCCGGTTATACACCTCTGCATCAAGCTGCGCAACAAGGACATGTTTTGGTAATCGGGTTGCTTCTCAGGCATAAGGCTGATCCGAATGCTGTCACTAGTGTAAGTAGACATTTTTATGATGCTCAGCAGGGCTAATGCATTAACTGAAACACCGCACCTGTTCGTTGGACTAAATTTTGAATGGAATACTTTTTTATATTCATAGAATGTTTTTGCGTTATTTTGGAAAGATTGCGATCCATTAGAGTTAATCTCATCACATCTCATAAAGTAGTAGATTTACTGGAATAGACCCACTGACAACATTACAACTGTTCTTCGGTCATTTCGTGGAACAAGCAACGAGAAACAACGGTTAACAATAATACTCCCTAAATGCTTTGGGATTTTGTTAAGTGACGTTTGAAGAATATTTAGGAACTTTGGCGACATTATAATTTTCTTTTTAAACTAAAAAAATGTACAGGTTGAAAAAACTGATTTTTGAAATTTATTCAAGAAATTGTTTATGCAATTCTTGTCGAAACTTTGAGCCTAGCAACATGTAGGAAAGTGGTCTTTTTTAATAAGAATATGCAACAAAAAAACAGAATCAGAATATTTGTTTGGAGAGGCTGCTGTGTCAGTCAGTAAACCCGCCGATTGTAAGGGCTATGACGACGGAATCCAAAAGCTGGTGCCATGTCTTCGAATGCATAATTCGTGAAATTAGAGGCATTCCGGCCACCACAAGGAGCGAGCGCATAGGCCGCTTAAACCAGCCCTTATGCACCTCTACATTCCTTAGACCTCAAGCGTCGCCTTTCTATCGAAGTTGAGTATGGCCTTGAGTCCAAACTCTTTGACGTCCTATGGGTCCAAAGTAATGGACCCCAGTATACTCTGCCTGTAGTAGCTCAGAGCTTCACAGCGACACAGAATGTGCGCCGAGGTCTCTTCCTCTACCTGCAGCGCTCACACAAGGGATCCTTAGCCACCTGCATCACTTGCAGGTGGCGCCTTAACGTGTTATGGCCAAACAACAGTTCCATCAGCAACCTTAGGTTAGCTCTATCCAAAGATAACCAGAAACGTCCATCCTTAGCGCTGGGCCCTACACTGAGTTCACGCGCTTGACGGAGATGTTTGTAGATACTTCTCCATTTCTAAGAGTGTTGTCTTGCAATCCACTTCTCCATTTTCTTTCTTTGCGCGGGCACTCCTAAAACTGGCTCAGGACCAACGAGCTTGCTGGCCGATCCTGTCTTCGCCGACTGCCCCCAGCCCCAGTACCCACATTAACGATACCGGATGCCTCGCTGCGACAATCCAGAGCCTCCTTGCATTGCAATACAAGGCTCGAAGTAGTCTTACAGGCACTTATTGCCTTCATTGCAGCCTGGCTGTCGCAGAAGATTGTTATTCTTCTCCTAGGCCCTCCCTCCGCCAAAATGTGGGATACACAAGCCAGAACCGCAAAGATTTCCGCCTGTAAAATAGTGGTGTATCCACCAAGAGACAGATATAGCCTAGTTCTAGGCCCAGAGATCCCTGCGCCAGAGCCCTCTTCGGTGACAGAGTCTCCGGCTACCGGCGTTCCACTCCTCCCTGGATCTCCCACCGCGGGTCACTAGACGGTGGGAGATCCAGCAGAGCCTCCATTGCACTTAATGGCGTTGTTCGCACTGCACTTGTAATGCTAATACAGACCAAACGCTGAATTTTATTGAGTTTGGCCTTAGTTGTCTCAGTTCCAAAGCAAGCTCACCAGACCAGGGAGCCGTACAAGAGAGATGGACGTACTATCGTCATAGCCATGTCTTCACAAATGCTTAAATCTGTATGGTAACCATATTGAAAAATGAAAAAAAAAAATATATTTCAGAATGCGATACAATTTACATTCATAAATAAAGATTCTTCGACTCCATTACAAAACAGTTCTTATTTAAATAAGGATCCTCGTATACTTCCTGCACTACAACCATTGTCCGCCATAGCAGCTCCCATCTTGGACTTCGCCGGGCCAGGGTGGATTCATTTGTTTTTTCACTACTAGCCCGGAAAGTCGTTATACGTATAATTAATGATAACAAAACATTACCTATTCAAGTAAGGAATTTCATTTAAAAATGTGTCTTGCCAACATCATTATGTCAATTTAACAACCAAACTTTGTATTTCTAATATTTGAATTCGAGTGAGAGATGGTTGCTGTGTATCTTGGCATGTAAGTGACTTTCTTGAAAACCACTACATTCGGTTTAATATTGGAAAACTGCTTTTTCACTACTAATCCACGAAACCACCATTGTTGATCATATTCAGTAGTAGAATTTCTCTCCCTAGGTAAATAATGAAAACAAAAAAATATCTAGGTAAATAATAATGCCATTTGAAATTGTATCCTGTCAGTTTGGCAACTAAACTAAATTGTATATTTCGAAATATTTTAGAACGATTGAGAAATAAGTAGTTTTGAGTATAGCTACTGATTTAGTTCTTCTTGCTCTATACCCCAATAATCGACATAATGTTTAAAATGCTAACAAAAAGAAAACAGTTGTTCCCTACCTCCCTAGGATGGACCAGTCCAAACTAAAATCGGCTAACTGTTGTATTCATTAATTTAGCTTGTCAATTTGACACCAGGTAACTAGATATTGTAAAGTATTTGTGAAATGAAATCGAATATTTTGTACTAAATAGCATTAGTAGTGAAGTGCAACTAATTCTATACATATAGTATGAACTTCGTTTGAGAACGACATTATTGGTTTCGCTACGCGACTCGGGTTATAAAAGTGCTCGCCTAATCATGGTCCTCTTCTCAAACTAGATATGTAATGCAAGCGGTAGGAAAACACGGCCAACCAACCTTAACGCAATAATAAAGTGGCAATGAACCAGGCCAAACCGTCCAAACCCAATTTCTGTCACATTGATGAATTTGAGGTTGTCTGTCTCACAGCATGTAACTAGATAATTCAGTTTTTTTAATTGGTAGGAAACGTCATGATCGTTGACTTATCTTTAGTTTAATATAAATACAATTGTAATATATGTAAATATAATAAATATAATAAATATAATGGCTTACAACTCAACCTAGTTAAGTAACATGCTATTTTACTAGAAGTGCACACTCGATACATTCTACAGTGATTTACTGCAATAAATTAAGCAAATATTTGTTGAATATAATCAATGTCAGACAGCTAACTCGTGTAATGAAAATAGTGAACATTTTAGTAAAAATAGTCCGATATATGATTGGTTATATTTCATCATGGTGAGTTTTAGTAGATTTAATAACAATAATATAAATTATAATCTTGAGTTATAAAAAAATCTATTTCTAATCGAATCTGTAACATAAAAAAGCTTTTTTCGTTAATTTATAAGCTCAAGATACTTTTCCGACTTTGACGGTAGATTTTGGTATTCACACATTCTGTAGCAGGTGTTCAACTGTGAAAATATTAAGCTCAGCTTACACTTTTAAACTTATTTTTTTTAGAGTGGACACACAGCTCTGGGCATCGCCAACAAACTAGGCTACATCAGCGTGGTAGAAGAACTGAAAGTAGTGACAGAAACGAACATAACAACAACAACAACTGTCAATATTGAAGAGAAATACAAGGTCGTGGCGCCAGAAGCTATGCAGGAGACCTTCATGTCAGATTCTGAGGACGAAGGTCAGTATTTTCTTCGCTATATATTTTGTTTGGCTTGATAATTTTGAAGAATTTCGCGTGAACAGTCTTCCTACTAGAGTAGGTGAACTAACAACACTGATATACTACAATGGCCGCTTGGAGCGCTACTATCGCACTTCTATATAAAGAAAAATTCAACTAACACGCTGTGGAAAGTGGAGATATACAAACATGCGGCTTCAGTTGTGCCTTTTTTTGTGTACAATATCTTTTACAAAAATCGGATTCATGACTTATTAATCTTATATCTTTTTTGCTACTTGATATCAATTTGAAATCTTTACGTTAGTTGAGGTAATGTTATAGTTAAACCTTATTTGAAATTGTGTATACCGTCGTCCTTTTATGTAACTGTTGACATCGCTGAGTCAACACGAAATAACTAGGCCAGTTGTTTGCGCTTTAATTGCATTAGTAACTTGAGTATTAAGATAGTATAACTTTGGCGGTTGTCATATAGGTTAGATCCGGACGGCGAATGCGAGAGAGCTCTTTTTCCGACAGTTGAATTCTTTTTGTTTTTCTTGTCAACAATTTCGGCTACTTAACATTTGAAATGTTTTGTTTGGTGGTTGGTTGCATGCATCAGGCGGAGTGGACGAGACGCCGGTGGTCTACGGAAGGCCGGCGCATGCGCAACACGTCTATTTGCCCTTCTATCAAGGTCACATGACATATACACGTAAGTCAGGATAGAAAACGCAGATCCCATCAGGACTAGGATCAGTAGGATCCTTTCTGTCAGGCACTCTCTTTGTCTGTCCATCCATCCTCCATTTTGCATGTAGCACATTATTTTGGTGTCTAGATTTTTTCCCTTCTATCGTACTCGGTACACTCATATATTGGGGCCAGGATCCTCACTATTGAGTGCTCGACTCATGTGTTCAACCATTCTTCACTGCATGCACCATACACTCTTGGTGTTTAGATATTTCCAATTATGATGTGAATATGTGAGAATATTTCGCCCTCTGTATAGTAGTAACATTGTGTGAAAATTTCATCAAAATCCGAGCGGTGGTTTTTCAAGTTATAGACGGGCCAAGTTTAGCAGATAGACAGACAGGCATACAGGCAGACCGACTGGAATGAGTGGCATAGTTTTTAGTGATGTACATGTCATATAACATCCAAAAAACATACGAAATCTGTATGTTAAGTGATGAGACTTTTTTAATTTTGTTATTCAAATATAATTACAATTTTATATTGTCCATCGCAAAATGACTTCCTTCTGAAGCCACACGGCGCTGGAGACTGTTCACTCCTCATAGCAGTGCTGGAACTCTGATACTGGAATAGCCTTCATCTGGTCGGTTTCAGCCGTTTGAATGTTCTCGACTGTCCCAAAATGTGTTCCTAACTTCGGGAAGAGAAAAAGGTCACAAGGACTCAAGGCAGGCGAATAAAGAGGCTGCCGAGCCACCAACCGTTTCACAAAAAAAAAATCGCTACGGACAATCAAATGACTCGAGCGAGTTCAAACTTATAGAATAGAATAGAAATTTATTGTTTTCTCAGTTATAAAAAAACAAAGAAATTTATAACAGAGATACAAAAACAAACATACATAGACAACATATAACACAACGATATTGATGCTTACGATTTTACTAGAGTATAGAACTAGTCAATACTATATGGTTCCATTTTGCATCTATATTTATTAATGCTTTTTGAATATAGGGAGTGCTGAAATAGATCGAAGATGTTGAGGTAAAGCATTGTAAAGTTTCAGTGCAGAGTAATGTGGACATTTTTCGATAGAATTTAGCGTAGATGTATTTCTGACTTTTGCGAGTATTGTAACTATAGTTGAAAACGTTTTTTCCGAACTTTTCTTTATGGTTAAAGATAAATAGTGGAGTGTTATAGATATATATTTCCGGCAATGTTAATAAACTGTTGACTTTAAATATACTCTACATGACTCTCTAGGTTTCATTTTGAACATGGTTCTTATTATCCTCTTTTGTATGATAAAAATCCTATTGGCTGCGGAACTATTATCCCAAATTGTTATTTGATAAGACAATAGAATACGCAAGCCCAGTGTACTGATGGCGGATCACATGTTCCCATGTCTCCCCTCTAATCCCGGTGTCTCCAGTGTCTCCATATTAAACCCTACGTTGCCTGTCTCATCACTTAATTTAAGAACTCGTATCTCTTTTCCGAAATTATTTCCGATTACAATTACGTCGTCGAAAGTATGCGTAAGAAGTAAACATGGAAGATAGTAGCGTAACTCATTGTGTGTATTGTATTTGTATACATGTGATCGTTCTCAAAGACACGCCGCGTCCCTCCCTCGTACAATGAGTGGTTAATCCTTTTTACATAATAAGTGACGCAAAAATTATTTTCCAGCTTAAGTCAATTTCATTGCCTACGCCCTTAGTTCAATTTGGAACCGAAAAATGTCTGTTTATACTATTGATAGATTCGATATAAAACGGCTGGTAAAAGAGCTGGCAAATGACATGAAAATATAGGTACTTCTAAAAACCACAACAGGCTCCGTTTAATTCGAACGGTACTTACAGAATTATCGTGGAACGATTGAATGGATCACAGGCTTGCCGACCGTGGGCGGCCACGATTGCGATTCTATAATTATGATCTGGAAGTGTCATAATTTTGCGCTCTGGGATTTTATAATTTAATATACTGAAAATCAAATTATTCCCGATTACAATGTGTACGAGAGAGAAGTATGTATAGACAGATATGTTAAAAAGAGATAGAAGCCGGCTGGATAGCGAAGCCTAGCAACTCTGACGCGGCCAATATGTTACACCAGTTCCTTGAATTTAGACGCATGTTGAAAATATGCGTTAGTTTATTCTCTACGCCCAAATAATGGTTTTATTTTGAGCGTACACATTTTTGAATTGTGAATTGTGTCGAATATGTTTAAGATCGATTCCGGATCGGTCCTAATGGTGCTTCATTTTAGATCTAAATAGAAAGTCAGGAACGCCAAAAATTCTGCAAAAAATTGCATTATTGGTTCGCCTCGCAACATCGCATCTCGTACATTCCAATGCAAGGTTTCCATCTCCATGATCATAGATGAGCGATTTTGGTCAGTACCCATCTAGCGCTCAGTGTCGTCCTGCTTCGAAATGGTTTTCACCTGCGTACACGCAGGCAGTGATAATTTGTATTGCGTAATGCTGTCGCAAAATGTAAAAATAACTCATGAGTTAATTTTATCACCATCACTGAAAATCAAAGATAATTCTAAAGTAATTAAAAATAAGCTCTTAAGTCGCATCAAAATTGCAACAAATAATTCTAATCAAAATAAAAACAAAATATTAAATTAAATGGTCGAACAGACCTCCTTCATGGGTTTGACCGAAACCTAACCTATTGTAGAAGCCTGTGCGAATATTTTCTGGTATAACATATTGGCAACGGCAGATTGCACGACCTTCGCTCTTCAGCCGGCTTCTATCTCTTTCTAACATCTGTTGATACACACTTCTCGCGCAACTCTCTCGTACTCATTGAACTCATGCCCTCAGACAAATTTGGTTCTCCCTGTATGTATAAAATTTTGAGTAGATTCTTTCATTCGCTGCGTACCATTGTTATCCGAATCACCCTGTTTAAACGATAGAGTTCTTCCATTGATTATCGGGCTCAAAAAATTATCCGAGATAAAATGAGATATCATAGTGTCATCTGTCAGAATTTGTCACAGCTATTTCTCTGTTCACCATATATACTTTGAAAAGGTTAGTGTCTCATATATAGGGCTGTAGCCAACTATATGAGCAGATACGAGCATATTGGCAGCGTCATCTATTACACTAACATATTCAAAATATTGTATAGTAAAAAAAGAAGCAGGTGTAACAAATTCTCAAAGATGACGCTACGGTATCCCATTTCTTATCGGATAATTTTTTAGATGCTTCCCGCAATTTTGTTGTGTTAATATATTCCCAACCCCGGTAATTCTACAGGGTTTATCCGGAAAGTAATAGGTCTGAGTCGATTTAAAAAAATTTATTGAGCCAATCGTTTTCAATTCTTTAAAAACTTTCAAAATAGGCTCCTTCTGCCTCGATGCAGCGCTGCCAGCGCGATTTCCAAGCATTGAAGGCGGCACGGAAGGCATTCTCCGGAATAGCCTTGAGAGCCGTGGTGCATGCTGCCTGGATGCCCTCTGTCGTCTCAAAATTCTTGCCTTTCATCGGCTTTTTCAGGCGAGGAAACAAAAAAAGTCCGGGGGGGGGGCACATCTGGGCTGCAGGGCGGCTGCGGAAGCGTTGGGATGCCGGCCTTGGTCAGGTAGCTGTTCACAAGAAAGGCGGTGTGAGCCGGGGCGTTGTCGTGGTGCAACTTCCAGTCGGTTGCGATGTCTTGTCGGACCCGACTGACCCTTCGTTTGAGTCTCCTGAGCACTTCCACGTAAAACTTGGCGTTGACGGTTTGTCCAGGAGGAACAAATTCATGGTGGACGATGCCTTTGATGTCAAAAAAGACAATGAGCATCGTTTTCACTTTGGATTTGCTCATTCTTCCCTTTTTTGGGCGAGGAGACGCCGTCGTGTGCCACTCGGAAGATTGCCTCTTTGTCTCGGGATCATACTCAAAGATCCACGACTCGTCACCTGTGATTACGTTATTAAAAAATTGGGGGTCACTTTCACGCATGTTCAAATTTTCTTGGCACACTTCCACTCGCCGCAATTTCTGGTCGTCAGTGAGCACTTTTGGGACCATCTTCGCGTACACCTTGCGCATGTTCAAATGCTGTGTCACAATGTCATGAACTACAGATTTTGGTAAATTTAACATCTGGGCAATTAAGCGAATACTTAGTCGACGGTCTGAGTTCAAAACTTTGCGCACACGAGTCACATTATCGGTGTTTGTCGAAGTCGAAGGTCTTCCAGCACGGTCTTCATCAGCGACCTCTTCCCGGCCTTCCAAAAAGGCCTGGTGCCACCGAAACATAC